GAACTTTTTCACCTGGCGAGGATTGGATCGTATTCTGCAATCAACTTTTTTCCCGAGGTATCCATACTTTTAGAAACAGAGAAAGTTAAGAGAAAAGAAAAAGAAAAAAAGAAGAGAGCGGCGAGGAGGAAATGTTCAAGTGTCGCGAGTTTCTATAAATTGTCGGTGTGTATTAAAAAATGTGTTTTAGCAATTTTTTTTACAAGCAAAAATTCGATATCAAATTATTAAATGGAAAACTTTAAAAACTCTTCGATCGATCTTCTTTCTCGATAATGTCAAAGTCGAACACAACCGATCATTTCTCGATCGAACAGTTTCTCTCTTCTTCGTTCACAAGTTTTCCTTGAATGAAATTTAATTTATTTAAACGACGATACTCCTGAAAGGAGCCCACATCGGCCAAGATTGAAGGTTCGAGGAACGAGCAACTTGCATTCACTGTTCGTGGAACAAACCGATCCACCCGGATTTTACGATCTTGTTTACGTCCGGTCTTTGGAAGAGCCGCAGCCATCGCGGAATTATGTGTCGATAGAATCGCGGCTCTGGGACAAGGAAAGCCCTGAATCTCTGTATCCTGCCGCGGAAATGATCATTCTGATGTAATATTGGCGAGAAATCGTCGGTCGATCGTAAAAGCGGATGCTCGAGACGTGGAACGACAAATGGCGATATAACGTCGCGATATATTCGGCATTAAATTGGCCGTATTTGCAAAGGTGCCCGGTTTTGCAATATTTCGATGCGTAAAATTCGTGTACAGGTTACGTCGGCAATAAAAACAAAATTAAAAGTACCAGTTTGGAGAATTTTAATTGTACTTTTGAATTTTGATTAAACGAAGCACGATTGATCGATATAACGAATGAGAAAAGATTAAATTTGGACTCGGAATTCGATATCAGATAAGATAAAAAAAATCTCAATCCTATTTTTATGCTTTCAAATTTCGATTGCATCCACGATTTTTCGTTCGATATTTCAAGAAACTTATATCTTATATTCTCTTCGCCCGCGAGAATTAAAACGATCGTGTGGGTGACCCTGAAATTGGCTTTCGAGTAAGAGTGAGATAATGCGATAAAGACTTTGATAATCGTGTGTTTATATTTTAAAATTTCAATTATCCGTTATTTAAGGAATGATTGTGCAATAATGTACCTAACGCGGCAAGATTCATGGCCACGTCGGCCGCCTTCGTAACGAAGGGAACGCTGAATGGTGCTTACGGTGCACGCAATTCGACGACCCTGGTTTCGGCTCGAATTTCACGGTGGCAGTTTCGTTAAACGGTGAAAGGAACATTTCGAGGGGCGATAGGAAACGATCAAACCGGTTAAAAATATGAATTCCCACACTCGGTGCCCGGATACCGTATAGAATAAACAGTTAGATGTTGTCGAGAGGGCAACCTTGCTCGAACCGGCCAGAGACGAGGTCTCGTGAGAGACTTTTCGATTATCGAATATTGCAATTCGAGGATACTTGATTTTTTTTTTTTTTTAACGAATTTCTCACAACGTTCCATAAAACGTGTTATTATTATTATTACTTTTAATTTTTATTTGTTTATTTTTGATTTATTTGTTGCAGTTTTTATTTTTAATTATAATTCTTTCACAGATATATTTCATTCAGTTATTATGAAAAGGAAGACGCATGGGATGACTGTTTCCACCAGCGTAACTGATGGTTATAAATCATTGGGAACACTTTCTATACGATCTTTTTTATTCATATATATATATATATATATTCTATCATACACATTGCGCTGGTTACACAATAATAAAACACGAAAGTAAAAGTTTCTTGAAGTTTCATTTGCGGATTTTCTTGTCACTTTCGACGAGTGATCTAACGAACTTCAGCATGTCATTTTTTATTACCGGTTTCATATTCAAACACGATCGAAAATAGAAATTTGCTCACTGCCGCTAATTGACCATAATATTGTACGCGTCACTACTCTTTTTATAGACTGTTGCTTGTACTCAAGCAACAGTCGAAGGGTCATTAAAATCTAATCAAAAAGTCGAAGAAACGAAAGAAGCAATTAATTAAAAAGACATCCACCTTTGCAACAGCCATTGAACTAAATCGTGTAATAAAAATTATATGCATAGAGAGAAAGATATATATATACACATATGTGTGTATGTCTAATAGAGAAACTAAAATAAAAAATAAATAAATAGAAAAAGCAATTAGGAAAGCTTCAAGTACTAGAAACTACATTCTCCCAACTACAACCGTACGTACAAAAAAGGAATCTCGGTATATTCGATGAAGAGTGAAAGAATAAATAAAAGATACGAAAAATTAGAAATTTCGCTCTCTCAACAACTCGTCAAATACAAATATAATATAAATACGTACATAAAAATCTCAATATATATTATAGAAAAGGTATTGAAAATATTGAATACCAAGGATTTCAATTTCACTCGAGAGATCTTTTTTTTTTTTTTTTCCTTTTCTCGTCTATTTTTCAAGCTAAAATATATTCGTAGAAAATGTCCAGGAACTGCAGACGCGGTTAATGATACCAAAGCAGGTTTAAGATACCATCCACGTTATCTATATGGCTCAAGCTTCTCGGTTTCTGCGTGTTATTGTTCTGGCGAGTAAATGCAATTGGTCTCACGGATTTCGCAACTCGAGAACCGTGGGGGGTTTTTGTTTGTCCCACCGTTTCTCCCGCGCGTTTTTCGCACTCGCTTTGCCTTGAGCCGGGGAACGATACCAGAACGAAACCGTGGAAAAAGGATCGCGCAAAGGTCGATGTGGCAAGAGAAAGATCGATGTCGAGGATTGTTTTTGATTGAAATTCAGCTTCCAAGTTTTGGAAATGTTTCTTTGTGAAACGAGGTTGGACGAAAGAAAGACTCGAGGAGAAAAGTTAGTTATCGAAAGAGAAAGAAGTTGCGGATAAAAGTCTGAAGAAATTTTGCAAAAGTGACAGTTTATTCTAGAGTTGATGAAGTTGATGGAAAAAGAAAGAATTTGTTAAGAGGAAAGAAGAAAGAATTAGATGAAATGTGATGTTTATTATAATTTCAATTCTTAAATGCAAGATTTTTGAGATCACGGATGTAATATACGATTATAGAAAAAAAAAAAATAATTTGAAAGATCCATCCCAAAATTGTGTAATTCAGAAAAGATCGACACATCAAATAATCGGCTAATTTAAAACGGAACAGAATTTATTAGCGAATTTTGAAAATGAAACAACTCGATTTCAATTCGAGTGACGCATTATTGAACGACGTTTCGTAATCTTCGAGGTTTAGCTTAGTGAAAGCTCATCCAAAGGAAACGTTTTCTTCTCCAGAGGTAATCCTCTTTAAACCATTTTCCTCAGACTTCGAAAACAATTAATCATCCACAACATCTAATATCTGAGATCTTAATCCCCATTGATCCACCTATATCCCGATATCTAAACACCGTGGCATCTAATCCTTCGAAATGAATACACCCAATAAACCTTCCATCCAGACATAAATAAACGTCGATCAACTGCAAAAGCTCCATTAAGAATTTAATCCATTCGGCCCCTAACATGAACTTGCAATTAGACATTTTTATCGGCGGAACGGCAACAACAAACGAATCAACGTCGAACGAATGAAAAACGAAGAAAAATGTAATAAGAGGCAAACCAGTCGATGCACGTGCACCTGCACGCGCATAATGCACGCACCTGGTACGATTGCAAGTAAAGTTTTTAATGATTTCTTCATGGCTGCGTCGGGATTTCATCAAACAGAGACCCCTGATTTCTTAATAACGAAACGCCGTAGAATCGGATCGCGAGTTTTTTAGGGAGGGAGCCATTGATAGGTTTGAGAGAAACCTATTTGAAAGGAATAGTTGGTGGCGTTCATTCATATAGAAAACGAGTCTATCTGTGATAAGATCTGTGATAAAATAATCGATCTTTCTTGAAAAATGTGTGCTTTTGCTAATATCGATAATTATTTTATTCGATTAGAAATTACTTTTTCACATTTTATTTTTCTCTTGATAAGATGTTCATTAATATAATTGAGAACTGATAATTCGAAGTAGATTTTCTTGTAGATTGGCAAATTTTTCTTAAAAATTATTATCAAATTTTATAAATTGCAATTTATTGTTCTATTTTTTTTTGTTTTTAAATTCTAAATTTATATTTAAACAAGAAAAAATTATAAAATCGTTTGTTTGTATAACAGAAATTTATACTCTACATATATTTACATTAAATTACTATAAGGAAGAAGGATACTATAATTAATTTCAAACGTTTTCCTTTTAATTACATTTCTTTTTTTTTTTAATTCAAAAAAAATTATACTCGAGAATTTTCTTCATCAAAATAGCATTCTAATTAAAAAATATCGCGAAATTAAATGAACAAAGCGTTATCGATTTTTTCATTACATTTTTTGGAAATGAATAATTCTCGCTCAATTAGAAATCGAAGAAATCTTTTCCATTTCGGTGTTTGCCAATTAAAACCGACAGGAGAAAAGGAAAAACCGCGTCGAAAGTAACCGAGCTAACGATTTTTGCTGCGCAAAAGCAAACATGAATGTTTCACAAGAAAAGATTCGATTCACCTAGATCGTGGCAGCCTTGTTAAACGTGCTAATTATGCATAACTCGAAATTCACGACGATCGTCGACGCGTGTTATGTGTTACGAAATCGATTGATCACCGATTCGCGCGAGAACCGGATCGATGATAACGATCATCGATATCTTCTTGTTGATTAGCGACGACGAAGTGCAAATAGCTTGCGGTTTTTTCCTTTTTTTTTTATAACACGACGATAGAGTTTCAATGACAGAGATGTCTTTGATTTATTCGAAATTTTTTATTGATATATCTTCTGACTTTTAAACGTCTTCACGAAAATTCGATATTAGAATGTGCATCACAAATGAGTTTAAAAATAAAAGGATCGAAGATGATTGTTACATCATAAAATTGTATAATAAAGCAGCTTGAATTATTTGCATGTGAATAAGTGCTCAAAAAAAAAAAAAAAAAAGAAATAGTAGTTTGTAAATTTTATTTCAAAATGATTGTTCAAAAATTTTAAGCCATCAAAGATATAGATGTCTTTTATAGTCTTCTACAAAAATCAAAAGGCTCACTTTTTGACACTTTTTAAAAACAATCTCTTTATATTAACAAATCTTTGCAACCAAAAAAACTTTATTCGCAAAGTTAAAAATATTCCAAATCTTTTCACAATTCCTTCCTTAATAATTAATCCTAATTCTCTTTTCCAAGTAATCATTCATCAAAATCAGAGTTCGAAGAACCAAAATCCAAAAACCAAAATCCCAGAGACTTACCTCGAAATCTTTTCGGATCGTCCCAGCTAAGCCAGATGATTCTTCGGTGTCACGGGTGAAATCACCTCGAAAACCTCGAAGAAAAGAAAAAAATAAAAAATTCCAGCCAAAGACGAAATATGTCCGAAGTGAATCCGCGATCGCGATCGATCGATCGAAGGAAAGAGGAAGCAACACTCGTCTCGACGGCGTTGCCTCGACTGATTCAAGAACCGAGCGTGAAGTGACGGTACGGGAGGCCTGGGTTTACGTTTACCTGATCGTCCACAAGCGAACGTTGGACGAGGAGGATCGTATGTTTCCCATCGGTAAAACAGAGAGGGGCGTAGGTGTTGGGACGGCGGGGAGGGCGGAGACAGGTAACAGGTGAGAGAGAGGGAAGGGAGAAGGTGGAAGAATGGGTTTTACAACGTTGCCATGTTGTCTGGCGAGCCTCGGATACGGGTTACGTGTACGACGATGAGTGGAAGCGTCGATCTCTTTGCAGGAAGCACGAGGATGATGATAACGCACAGGAGCGGCGGCGAACAAAGGGGATGATGAGGTGGTTGACTGCCATCCGGCCTGTTCAACGGCGTGGTGAACGTTTCATAAACTCCGTCCGTGCCCCTTACGGTATACTTTTTGCCCTGTCTAGACCTGCTCGGTCGGTAATGCGTGGTGGAGAAGATTTATCGCGAAAAAATGGAGGAAAACGGGTTAGGGATTTCTTCGCGCGATGTTTGTTTGCTAATTGAGGGAAGAGGATATTCTCGAGGGAGGAAACTTGGTTCCGCTTGGCCCTGTTCTAATTAGCGAATTTTTATTACGAGAAAAGACGCTCTCTACAGGATTTCTACTCTCTCTACAGGAGTGGCAATTAAGGAACGTTCCTTACGAGACTAATTTCGATCAATATGGTTAATATAGAATGGACTATAAAAAATTAATGTTTATAATAATATCCTGTTGATTCACGACTCTAATATGAAATTTATTTGTAATTTGCACACGAGAAATATCTTACGTATTCACAGTTTTCTCAGAAATATAAAATGATTGTAAATTATTATATTAATTAACGATGACATCAACTTGGCTATCCGACTAATTTTAAATTATAATTTTTGTGTATAGTTTTGCGAGAAAGAAACAAGAGGAGAGATGAAAAATAAAATATGATCGTGATTTTATTTTCCGTGGACGTATTTCTCTCGAATTTTTATCTACAAAGATTTTCTATTTACGAATTCTAACGGACTAAATAAATAACGTACATATGCAGTAAAGATAATTCAACATCGCTTCAGCGAAATCTTCATTTTCACGGAACAGTCGTCATGAATGCTAATGAGCGGTACGTCAAACAAGAATCGGTAAATTCTCTTCGAAGAGAAACCGCAATTTTTTTGTTTGCTCTTTAGCAAGGCAGCATTGTAAACCTTCCAAGTAGTTTTCTTCCGTGTGCAAATCATTGCAACCGATCGATTAGGATTACTCAGAATCGGCGGGCCAACCGAACGGTACTTCGTTTTCGACGAAGGAACCTTTCTTGAAGAACTTCGCGACTGGATCTTAATCGGATATTCCGTTAATTGATAATCTAGCTGCTTTTTTTTTTCTTCTTCTAACCTGGCTATCCGTTAAGAGTTCATTCAAATGAAAATTACCTTGAGAATTTGTGAGAGAGAGGAAAGAAAAAATTGGAAAGTGGTTTATGATGAAAGAAGCGCACACCTTGAAAATATCGAGGGAAGGAGAATGAGAGGATTTGGCTGATTTCATAGATAAATGATTATAAATAAAGATTAAGATCGAGCAAATGTGAAATTAAGACATTATCTGATCGTAAATATCTTATCGAGATTAGAAACTCTGTTGCTAATTGATGTTCGATATTTATTGGTGTTCAACAATGTTTATTTATAAGTTAATCTATTTAATCAAATGGTACTCTCTCTTTTTTTTCTTTCTCTCTCTCTCTCTTTCTCTGTGTGAAACGTTCTTTACAGTGGTTTTCCAATTATTTCATATTTGTTTCGTTTTTATATTTATTTCATAAATTATGTATATTTTATTTGTATATTTTCTTGTATTATTTCGTGAAATATTCATTATATCTGGTTTTGCAGTCATTTTCATTTCTACACTTATACTTTAAGTTAGATTCCTATTTTTTTTTCTTTTTATACTTGTTCATTTCCAACTTCGATCTTATTTATTTCTTGTACACACTGAAAGCTAATATTTCTTCTTTTTCAGTTTCAAAATAATTAATAACTCTCTTCGCACATATCTATTAATAAAAAGTCGTTATTAACAATTAATTCTGATCCGAGCAGAAAACTCGATCCAACGATTTAAAAGGTATCACCTCCTCCAACAAATCCAATCAAACATCGATAAAACCAAATAAATAAAACGGAACTGGCATCTGGTTTTTCCACGCGCAAAAAGAAAAGGAAAAGATCATCTTCGACCGCCATTTACGATCAGAGTGTTCCAACAAATGCGAACAAATATCGTACGCAATAAAATCAAATAAATAAATCGATCGGTGGTATAATACTCTTCTTTTCTTTTCTTCTTTTTTTTTTTTTTTTCGAGCAAGAAGAACGCATTTATGACTTAAGTGGCGGAGAATTTATTATACATCGGTCCATGATTGTCAGCTCGGTTCAAAGGAGGAGCGAGAGGCGGGAAAAAGTTGCGGCCGCGAAGCAAAATTGGAGCAGGCTCGTTTCTTGATCGATTTCTCATGCGCCGAGCCGCCTCTCGGTTATCTCTCCTTATCTTCGAACCGGTTCGATCCATGGATCATCCTCCTATTTGCCCTGCGGCTACCTTTACGAGAGGCGAGCCCTTCGATGACTCACTGTGTATATGCAGAGCCGCGATTAATAACGAGCCACTACTCGCGTGGGTCAGCGTCCACGATCCGTGAAAAAAGGAACGAGAGGAATACACGTGCAGGGAAGTTTATTCGAGATGCGTGCACTGTTGATCGTGCGCAAAGAGGATGAGAGTAAATTATATTTTGTTGTTGTTGTTTGTTTTGTTTTTTTTTTCCTTTTTTTTTTTTTTTTTTTAGGATGAAGGATTTACGTTTTTCTTGCTTCTTGAGATGAAAACCTTACGTATCACAGCATGGTGTATGATCTCGTGATGATCGGTTGGAGATCGTATTTTTCGATCGAATAATTTCGCCGAGAAGAATTTGGAAAAAAAAAAGTAATATGGAGAAAATTATACAGAGCAAAGAATCGAACGTTTTGCGTTATAACGTATCCAATTGCCGACAGATTTTTATCCGATACATTTCCTCTTGTTATTAGTAATTATATTTTAATGAAAATCCTTATTGATTTTGCATCGTGAAATCCAATCATCGCTCGATCCGATATAAATAATATTTAAGAAGAGAGGTTTAATTTGATGATATTTAACATAGAATTCTCTGCTATTTTAATCTTTGCTCGACCAAGGTCGATATCGAGACGATTTAATTGAGAAATCGGTGGACTCTTTGTGGACTAATTATATACTTTACCAGCTGCGTCTCGAGTTTAATTGAATGGAGGAGTTTAATAGATTGGGCGGAGCGAAACGGTGCAAACACGATTAGTTTTGGGGTTGATTGTCAACTTTTCCGTTGAATGTATGTTTACACGAGAAGTTGATACAAACTTGTGCAAATAAAGGGATTAAATAAATAACAGAATGCATTGGAAGATATCGAAATGTTATTGGAGATATAGATAAAAGGAATTTAAAACTTTTTATTGTTTTGTTTACCGATAAAAAGCGCAAAAGATGATCGCAATAATTGCAGTTAACGCATCATCTTAATGTCACGAGGTTTTTTACAATACCTATAATTGCGCGATAGTTACACAACTATTGCAATTTACATAATTGTCTGCGCAATCATATGATGCACATATGTTTGGAGACAAGAAACAAATATTCGTTACTGCAAACATTATTTTATTTTATTTTTTTCTTTCCATGAATCTTCAGAACCATATTGAAAAATATAATCTCTCGATTCTCGAACCTTAAAAAATTATTGATCCAATAAGGAAATAATAAATTCAACAATTCAGAAAATTCCTATTTTGCTGAGAAATTATTATATACACTCGCACAAAATTCTTTTAAAAATTACCACACATCCAATTATAATGCAATATAAATTTCTGTATTAAACTAAACTTACATCTCTATTAAATAATAATTCGATGTCTGCCCTAAATATTTGAAAAAATTGCAATTTATTTCCACGAATATTTTCACGAACACCTACAAGGAGCATAGAAATCCGACGAGAGAGCGTTGCGCAAAATCCCTGGATGATAATAGTTTTCAAACACCAGCCACGTGCAAAATCCATCTAATCGAGGAATCGATACTCGGCTCTCGAAGCCAAGAGGTCGATATATCGACACCGAAGATCGCAACGCGGATTGCAACACCCGCGCCACAGTGTTTATCTTTTAATGGTGGATAAAGTTATATCCGCAAAAAGAGCGGATTTCCACCGGGTTCCACGAAGATATCGTTCCACTCTGAAAAACTCGACTCTTGTTCTATGGCGACATCCAGCTCGTAATTCAACAACCGCGGTTACCCACTAACCTTAACCGACTACTGCGTGAAACAGCGATAATAATGGCTGGCCGATAATGGGTCACTGCCGGAGAAAGTTTTCGACTCCGTTACATACAAGTGAAGACGAGGCAGGCCGAAAACGAGGCTCCACGAGGATAGGCGACGCCCATCTTCAGATTTCCCGATCTGGGTCAACGATCAATATCGATCTATCCGCTCTCGACGCGAGATCTATCGAGGATTTGAGTTTCACTACATATATACAGCGTATATACAGCAATGGAAATATGATAATAACACGATAATATTTTTGCGCGATTTCCAAGTAGAATTTCCAAAGAAATGGAAAGTATATTTGAAAGATATGTGAAGATCTATTTGTACCACTTGTTTTATCGTCTATGTCGAACCAATTCGAGTTTCCATAATATAAAGATGTTTATTATATAGTGAGTTCTCCAGTTACAAAAGAAAACGATGAAATTTCGAATTATCGAAATAAGAGAGTTAAAACTTTTAAAAGTTCGTACGAGAATCGCTCGTAATTGTATTTACTTTTTCGTTCTTTCATCACGTAATTCATCAACCGTAATTAAGATTCTTGTAACGTTATTATATGCCACTCGACGATATATATATCTAGCAAGAATTATTTTATCAAAATCACGATATAAGGACGAATTACGTTCACTGGGTCCCGTTAAATAGTTGACGACGTTCCACGATAATGGAAATGCTCGATGGCGATCCTTGTCCTCGGTTAATTACGATTAATTGGCGGCGGGTAATTACGCGAGTTCCTCGGCCGCTAAGAGATTTTCCGCGAAACGCGGCCCTTCGCGCTTCGAAGACTTCTCAACGCCGCTAATTGCGGACACCTGTTCTAATTGCCTCGAACAATCGAACGCGCAGCCGAGAAATGCACGGGGAACAATTGGGATTCGACGCGATGCTCCTCCTTTCGTGTTTGCGCGATTGGAGGGAATTAATATAGAGGGTTTCCTGTTATAACAGTGGACCGGATGAGAGTCGTGAGATGAGATTTCGCGTGAATTGGATCTGGTGATTTTAGGGGAGATAAAATTTTTGCACGTTGGAATGCTCGTTACAGTGATACAGGGTTTCTTTTTATGGTGAGTTTTTTTTTTGACGATAGAACGTTTTTAACGAAGAATTATTTTTAGGAATGAATGGAAAATGCAATGATGTAAGTTTATGGGAAGAGAGATAAATACAGGAAATAAGATAGAGATAAGATTTGTATTCGTTTAGTTTTCTATCTATTTCGTGGGAATCTCTAGATATAAATTTCCAAGATTTTATGAATAATAATTCGAAAGTGTAGATATTATTTGGTTAAAATTTCATTTTACTAATTATCACAAATTAAAAGTCATTTTTTTTTTAAACAAGGAAAGCTCAGGATTCGTGAATAATAACAATATATTATAATTTTGGATGGAAAATGTTTATGGCAAATAATCACGAAGAGTTCAAACATTCAATTATATAAAAAAAAAAAAAATAACAACAGCATAATTCAAAACACAAAGAACATCCTCAAACAAACCTCTCCGTATCTTCCAACAAACTTTCCATTCATCTCACCGCACAGATTAATCTGAAGAAAGATAAGTAGAAGTTAAGAAAGGTGATGCTCGATCCATGCAATCAGTGAACGTAGTTGTCTACGTTCCAACACGAGGAACCTTGAAATCACTTATGACTGTGATCGCGCGCCGATTTCCCTGTAATCTTGGAATTATCGAAGGTCTGCCACGGAACAAGAATTTTCCTCTCCGTTCCACAACCGCGTACACGTTCCACGTGTACTATCTCGGCCCTAGTATTGGATGGGAATGGCTTGGATTACCGCGATGGTGACGCGATAATGATGATTACCGCGCTCGTCCACGGACCACGGGGGTATTTTTCACGCCAACCCGTGAAATCGTACACCGGCGCGAGCGATTACGATATAAATCGATCTCGGCTTCATTGCCCAGGATTAATAGCGGATAACGGAATCGTGGAATAGTGTGCACGTTATCATTGCACGAGATGGGATTTAACCCTTTCGAGACCAACAGAACATCTCGAAAGAATGAAATTTGGAATTGTTGTTGTTGGAAATTAGATAGATTGAATCGATCTATTTTTGCATTGTTGCGATCGAAATTCATCTCGAAAGGGTTCATAGGTAATGGTGAAAGAATCTGTTTGATAAGGAAAATTAAATTTTAAGAATGAATAATTTTTAAAAATTTTATATTTGATGATTAAAAATACGTAGGAATTTTTAGGATTCTATTTTCCAATCTGCTTTATCATTTTCAGAGGAATTGAAATAATTTTTTTTTTATTTTTGTTATTGATCGTAATGCAATATTGGTAATTTTTATGTGAATAGGGGATTGCGAATAGATAAAGATTGAAAAATATTTTAGAAAATTGGAAATAGATAGTTCGATGTTAGAAAAGATTCTTAGTTTAGATTAGATCTTTATTTAATTTTAGAAAATAATTAGAAAATAATATAGCTCCACAAAAGACAAAATTCCCAAAATTCCTTTTCAATCTTTATATCAACTTCCAATAATAATCCTTTTTATACAATTAACCTAATATTATCAGTAAAGTTTCACAAGTCGCAAGTAAACCAATTACTATCTAATTACTATTATTCAAAATAAAATCACGAATGAGAGAGATCTACAATCCACGACAACTTGTAACTTGTCAAACATCACCAACATTATCTATAAACTATTCTATTATAGAAGACATACCTATGAAACGCAGAAAAGAAACGTGCTGCCCTCTTAGAGTGAAAACTCCCTAGAATCCTAGAGATCCCTAGATCATAGAACACAGAACGAACTTCTAAAACAAGGGAAACGAGGGGGGTGGTTCGATCGGGTCGAGTTCCGCGTCGATGGGAATGAAATGCAACCCTATAATATCACGTTTTGACGGACGATGGGGCTAACACGAGGCTTTTTCTCCCGGCGTCGCGACGCAGGAGAGCGACGGTGGTTGCGATGGTAGCGACGCCGAGATGATCGGTAATGGGAGACGCGGAGGCGGAACGGAAAGGGATCGCGATATGGAGGAGGATGAGGACGAAGGAAGGGAGGAAAGGAGCTCAGAGGGTGGAGGTGGTGGAGGTTTCGGTGGTTGGAGGTCCCACCTGCTCGGTGGGCTGACGCAACGTGTCAAATCCTGGTACTGGGGCGCCAGGCCCCTCGTAAGTTTTAATATCAAACGAACCATAAACACACAAAAGTGTCTATTTACGCACAGATATTTTTTTTATCTCTTTCTTTTTTTCCCCTCTCAATTTTTCTCCTGTCTTTCTTACCTTCTTCCTTTTTTCTTTTTTTTTCTTTTATTTTAAAAATTAATTCCTTTTCTTTTCTTTCTCTCTTTTACTTTCTTCTCATTGTCTCATTTAAGAGTTTCGAGTCGGTTTAAAGGATGGCGCGGAGATTCTCGACGAGTTTCCTTGAAATTGAAACGACTGTTTTAACGAATCTCAAGTGTTTTAAAAGCCTCGGGGCGTTAAAATGCTTCGAGCAATGCAAATTTGTAAATTTTCGTTCAAAATTTCGACACCTTCGACGCTTTTTATTTTTTATTTTTTTTTTCGCAAGAATCGAGGCGAATCGTTTCTCTTTAAAAATTCTGTGCGATGTTCTTTGCGACTCGAAGCATCGCGCGAATTATTATTTGTAAATCGAGAAGGGATAAATGATCGATAATTGTCATTAAAATTTTGCGGTATATGAGAAAATGGGAATAATTTTCTTCTTATTTTTTGGGTTTCGCTATTTCAATTTATTTTTCTTAAGTGATGTTTTATTGAAAACTACGTGAATAAATTGAAATATAATTTTACATCGCGTGCGAACGAGATTTACTTAAATTGGAAAAATTCGAAAATGTCAAGAATCACTAGTATTCATTTAATCATTAGTAGCATCTCGTTGCTTCAGAGTTCATTTTAGATCAATAGCGAAATATTATTCATCAGAAAATTAATAATTAATAGATAAGAGAGTAAGTTAGATGAAACATTAATTAGTAGAGATAGTAGTATTAAATAGAAATTTCCAACATAGAACTTTCCAATTGAGAATTCTTATAATTTTAATTTTAAACCAAGCATATCACCGTATTTAAAAAAATAATTTGTAGAAAATTCTTTTATTTTATAAAGAGTATATAAATAAGTAAAATCATATTCGATATCCATCCAAATGTAAAAATTATATCTTAATTTCGTCATCTAATTTCAAATCATCGAATATGACCATCCCCTTTGGCATGAACTTGTTTCTCCCAAATTAGCTTTTCTTTTATATTTTCCCTCTCTATATAATATTTTATATATAATATTTCTCACTATTTATCTATTTGTTACTACTTTTTTACTTGTTTCTCTTTTCCTATTTTTCACCAAAATTTCAATTTTCCTTTTTCTGCTCTTAGAGAGTTAGCGAATTTAGTCGAAATAGCGATAGGTGTGTACGTGTTTTTTCTTAGATGTCTTGCACATGCTACTTTCGATTTGTCCTTAACTTATATATTCAACGCACGACTACTGTAATATCTATGCAACGTATATGTAATTATAACATTGTATTAAACAACACGATATAATTATATATACAGTTTTGAACATATGTCAAAGTGTATTTTTTATATAGATGTCTTGGCATGCACGATCACTTTACTCACATCAAAATACAGTATTAGCGATAATCGCGAGATTCGCTTCGTACATACAAAGGATAAATAAAAGAGTAATTTGAGAGTAAAAAATTTCGCAACTCTCGAACTCTCATTATTCATTAACGCACTTGCGAAAAATAACTCTCGAGAGCTACTCTCAAAGATTTTTATTCTCAAATTTATTCAAACCCAAACGGAACGTAGAGATAGCACACCTATACATAGATATCATTATTCGTCTCATCCCGATCCCAGTGTTATAGAGACTCGTAAATTAGAAGAATTAGAAACGTGATCGTAGACGGTCGATAGAATCCGCAACATAGGAAGAAAGCCTCGATCGGTAATAGAAAATAGGTAATAGACGACGGTAAATCAATAGAGAAAGCGTAGAGAGAAGTTTTCACCAAACATGGAAGAGAACCGGAAAATCCGTCGAGTTTCAACGATTAGAGTTTCAACAAAGATGAACGTTCACGCGTCATTTTCCTTCTTATTATTATTATAATTTCATATTTAATTATTTCTTCGAAGGAAAAAATCGAAAAGTCTTTTTGCAATCCTTCAATTCAACAACTCCTAAATTTCCACTTAAAATTATTCATTTTCTTTTTTCCTTTTTATCGCACGAACGATTACTCAAGATTTCTTCTATTATCATTTATCGTTACTTTTCCTCAATTATTCGATTACGATTCGAGGACTCGAATCCGTGGAATTTGGCCGCGGTTAGGAAGAGAAATTGAAACGCACGTGCGTTCGATCACGAAACACTTTCACCGCTCGCGATTCGCGCGTTTCTCCGCGCGAGGAAGTGGCCGGCCGCGAAACCTCG